TGGGCTACAGAGTGAGTTCCAGGAAAGGCACAAAGCTACACAGAGAAACCCTGTCTCGAAAAACCAAAACAAAAAAAGACAACATAGGGCTGGAGAGATGGCTCAGCGGTTAAGAGCACTGGCTGCTCCTCCAGAGGTCCTGAGTTCAATTCCCAGCAACCACATGGTGGCTCACAACCATTTAAAGTGAGATCTGATGCCCTCTTCTGGTATAAAGTCAACTGAGCACTCATATACATAAAATAAATAAATATTAAAAAAAAAAAAGACAACATAGAAGCCAGCATGTGGTGGTGCACACCTTTAATCCCAGCACTTAGGAAGCAGAGGCAGGCAGATCTCTGTGAGTTCCAGGACAGCCAGAGTTACACAGTGAAACCCTGCCTCAAGAAAAGAAACATGGAACTTCTCAGGCAATATGAAGATGTTCTCAAAAGAGAACACAGAAATGCAGAAAGAAAAGTCACAGGCAGGTAGCTATATGGGACAAGAAAAAAAGTTTAAGGTCTGATAATTATGTATATGTATTTACCATGTACACATATGCAATTATCATATGATATACATAATTAGAATACATCATAAAGAACTAAAGTTGATAAGAGCTAAAAGTTCAAGTCTGAGCACCCAGGGTTCTATATAGCTCAGCTGGGAGAATGCTGGCCTAGCATGCCCTGGGTCTGAAGCCCAGCACATGTGCAAGGTATAATGGCCTGCGCCTACAGTCCCACACACAGGAGGTAGAGGCAGAAGATTCGAGAGTCAGTGTTCTCCTTAGCTAGTGAGAGAGTGCAGGGCTAGCCTAGGATATACCAAACTGTCTAAAAAAAAAAGGAAAAAAGGGGTTCAGGTCTGACCCTAGTTAATGCTCAATATATTTCTCTCCACTGACACACAGGGAAAATGATGGTCTGTCTGAGAATTCTGATCCAGACATAAGGGAAACACCCTGATTCCCATTGCCCAGTGAGAAAACAATTTCTAAGCCTCAAAAACAAACATTATTTCCAAATCTTCATGAAATTTATGAAGTGAAACTTAGGATCAATCCCCAAAGTCTCCGATTTCAAGCTGAAGACTTACTGGTAGGAGAAATGATGGCCAGTTTGCATCCGTGTTTGTAACCAGGATCCACTCCCATCAAGGTGCGCCCTGGAACAGGACTCGTTAAAAGCAGCTGGCGGAGATTCTGTCCAAACGTTAGCACCGATTGCTTCTCTGCGTCTGATGACAGTTTGGCTCTTAGAAATGCAGGGGAGGAGGGGATGACACAAAAAATACTTAGTTTTTCACTCATTCAAATTTTCATTCCAGAAAAAGAGCACCGTTTGTTTTGTGCAGTGAGTCCTGGGGTAAACATCCATCCCTGAGTTACACTGAGGCTACTTTTGCTAACCATGGCAACATGACACCATCAACAATTCTGAAGCAAACTGTCGGAGTCTCCTCTATCTTCTCTAGCTGCCCTGTCATACACAAGTCATGAGTTAAATATGCATGTATATACATGAAAAAGAGCCTGTAAAGATGTGCAAGTCAAATTAGAGCTTGTCAGATGATTAAAAATATAAACAAAACAAGAAGGACAAGGCCACAGGCAGCCTCCACAACATTCTTTAGTGCACTATTTTGACATCAAGTCTCAATGCCACTGTCTATATTCTTCTCCACATCCACCCGCTTGTCATTCTCGGACACTTGACAATGCCATAGATCCTAAGAGCTAATACAGAACCAGGCTCATGTAACAATGCCTCTGTTTTACCCAGAAGCTGTTACAAGTGGACTTAAGACTTTGTAGGATGAAAATATAAGCCAATGATGGGCTTAAAGGCAGCTGGAAACCTGAAGCTCTCAATGTATCATCTCTTGAAATTCATAAGAATGATGTCATAACAAGTATTTCTTCTCTATTGGACCAAATAAATACATGTCATTGGCCATGAGAAAACTGAGTACAATGCAATTCAAATTGTGTTTGGGGTCTCTGTGGGTAGGGATTAACTCCATATGTGAAGATGCACACTGCTACAGTTTGCTTCTCGGGCTTAATTTTGTTTGTCAAGACTGTTCTCGCCCGGCGGTGGTGGCGCAGGCCTTTAATCCCAGCACTCAGGAGGCAGATCCAGGCGGATCTCTGTGAGTTTGAGGCCAGCCTGGGCTACCAAGTGAGTTCCAGGAAAGGCGCAAAGCTACACGGAGAAACCCTGCCTTGAAAAACAAAAAACAAAACAAACAAACAAAAAAAACAACAAAAAAAATTATTCTCATCTTCTCTAATATTTCATTGTAATTATCTGACTTCTGCAAAACAAGATAAAAAGTATCATTACAAGTATTTCTAAGTCTTCCTTTTGAGCTTCATTTATTATGAAATCTCTGGTTGGTAGTCCTTTCAAGAAGCCAGGATTGGTTTAAGAGATACAAAGGTGAAAGGCCACATGGCTGCCCTGAAGACCACTGTATGATGGAAGAAACAGAACAATAAACAGGAAAGACTGAATCACTGGGGATGCTAGGCTTACTAGGGACCTAGCCAGGAGCAGCCCAGGTGAACGAGAGCTACACAAATAAAGGTAGCACAGTAGAGGGATGGCCTGGAGAAGACACCGCACACAACCAAAGTGGCCCAGGAGGTTCACAGCTCTTTGGAGAAAAAGAAAGTGATTTCACACTCTAAGAGAAAAAGAAATAGCAAGGACATAATAACTGAAGAACGAGATAAAACCCCATGGCCCCAGGTCATCAGGCTCTCCTGAAGAGCGTCAAGTTTCCCTTGGGCACACAGACCTACATCGAGGATCTCCCGTAGACGACTGTGAAGTAATGAGATAGGATTTTTAGATGGTCATGTGGGGCAGCGAGATGGCTCATTGGGTGAAGTAGCTGCCAAGCAGCCATGAGGGTCTGACTCAGGTCCTCAGCACTCACGTAAAAACCCAGGCATGTTGGCTGAAGACATGCACAGTAACCATAGCCCGGAACAGAAATGAAGTATTAATATAAACAAAATGAACAAAAACCATAGAAATCAATTTTTCTATCTTTAGGATAAATTTCTTCTGAATTAAAGAAACATACTATTTTTCTTCAAAGTCAACAGTAGCGCCATCTCTGCCTGCCCTCCTCAGCTGCTGTTCAGTGGGTATTTCTAAGGAGACCCAGCTCTGGGCAATGTCTGCAAACTAACTAGGAACTGAAAGAAACTATATTGCTCTACTTAAAAGGGAAACATGCTCTTGTTTATCCACAATGCAAATCAAAAAAGGACTGTGTCCTACAGAATCCTACATACTGCTTAGTTGAAACAAAATCATTCAAAGCAAAATGTCAAAATACCACTGGATGGTGAATGAAACATGAAAAACACCAGGAAAGAAAAAGAAGTATCACACTGAAATTTCACATAAGATTGTTTTCCCCTTCAAAATAGAATGAATGACTTGCTACATACTCATGGCAACTGAAGTTGGGATTCTAGCACCCATATAACAAGCCAAGTGTCTTGAAATGCCTTCACCCCAGCTACACCCAAGCAAGGTGTAGACAAGTATATCACTAAGGCCTGCTGGCTTCCAGTCTAGAGCAGACACAAGCCCCAGGTTCAGGGAAAGACCTCCACCTCAAAGGAGCATGTGCAGGTCACAGAGCACACTCGCCACCTTCTTCTTGCCACTGTACACAAGCACCAGACCGTGTACCATGTATATGCACTCACACACACACAAATAGATAAATGGATAAATAAAAAAACCGATCCCTTAAAGTTTATGCCACAGCAGGGAAATCAAGAGACATTACATCACACAGATGATATAGAGTTCCAAACAGAACAGTATCTGTAGGGCCACCTAGGCTACAAAGACATGGAGCAACAGAAACTGAACAGTGGAGCTCATTTTTCTAATGTTCGTTCCCTGCTCTGGACAGTCTGAACTCAAAGACTTAATGTACAAGGCAGGGACAGGAAAACATCAGTCGGCTGGAAAGCCCAGTGAGCTGACCAGACAGCTTCAATACCACCATTCCCTGGGAGCCTGGCTGAAGCTTCAAGAAAAGCGAGGATCTGCCAGGTGGTGGTGGTGCACACCTTTAATCTCAGCACTCGGGAGGCAGAGGCAGGTGGATCTCTGTGAGTTCGAGGCCAGCTTGATCTGTGATTACACAGAGCAAGTCCCAGGACAGGCTCCAAAACTACACAGAGAAACCCTGTCTCGAAGAAAAAAAAGGAGAAAAGTGATGCTCTACAGTACACATGAAGGACTGCATGAAACTGTGCAGTCTGGAACTTAACTAGAGAAAATCAAAGAGAGAAAGTGAGGTCTGCCGCCTCGGGCTCTTGCATCTTCTTGGCTATTCACAGAACTCCCATGAGCCCACTGGCACGGCCCCTTCAGTCTCCTCCTCAGTGCCTGTCATTGCTCATGCAGATGATTCCCACTGGAGAGGACCAGGCATAACTGCTCTCTCTCCTCAGAACAGTGAGACTGTCTCACTCTTCACAAGCTCCTTATGCTTTCTTTGGCTCTATTACCTCCAGCAAATGCTTCCAAGTAACCTCTCCATTAACTTCTCAGTTTGTTTTTCCCAAGCCAGACCTCTAATCAATAAAATCAGGTTTGGCTTGGTTGTCAAACTGCAACATCAGCAATGCAGAATTGGAAGGGGTGTCGACATTGTGTTCAGGACTAAAAAGTGTATCACAATGAAGAAGAATGCTGTGAGATCTATGCATAAGAATGAATCTACAAATTAAAACCAAGGCTCACACTGAAGACCTGGTCTAAGTTCTTTGGCTTGGTTCACATTAACAAACATTTCCTCCATACTCCATGAAGACCATACCTAATGGTAAACAGTACACAGAATTAAACAGGATACATACCTGAACTCTCTACAGAGGAGAGGAACAATAAGGCGTTTAAAGGCATCATCCAGTGAATTATGTAAGATCTTCATTAACTCTGGCCGTGCGAAGCCACGTGGCCTCCACCTACACAAAGGAAAAGCTCATGATAAAAGTGAATTGCCAATGAGAGACCATGAAAGGGCACCTTGAAGAGGGGAGCTGGGGAACAGGGAGAGCCTTTATCAAAACCATATAAGGATAATCTGGGAGAGGCTGTCCTGAGGCTGTGGTGTTGAAAGGTATCATCTGACATGTGGAGAGGAGCATCTCTTGAGGAGGAGATTGTTGTTTAGTTTAGAAGAGTTTGTTTTGGTTTTTTGAGACAGGATCGCTTTGTGTGTAGCACTAAAGGCCCTAGAATTCACTATATAAACTATACTGCCTTCAAATTTGCTGTGACTGTCCTCTCCAAATATTACTAGTGAAGGCTAAACTCCTAAGCCATCTGAAAGACACCAAAACATCCTTACAGCACTAGAGACTGAGTTTCATCTGTCCCCAAACCCACATTTGGAAGCCTAGCCCCTCCTGTGAGGCATCTATGGAAGGGGCTACAGAGAGCATCAGCATCAGATAAAGTCGTCCAGTGGAGCCTGCCCTGTCTCTCTATCCACTCTGTGACAGAAGACAGCCCCACGAAGGGCCTGAACTGTTAGCTCCTTAATCCCCATCTCTAGGACTCTGAAAAAAAAAGAACTTTTGCTGCTCATACCATGCCACTCAGTCTCTAGTGTTTTCTTGTAGCAGCTTTTCCCATTTCCTCCCCTCTTCTATGAGAGTGAAAGGAGGCGGTACAGAGAACCTGTATGGACCTTGTTTCTAGGCACTCTCTTTTTCTCGGTAGCAAACTTGGACTTAAACCTTACATATCTCAAACTTAACAAAAAGTTAGGTTCTTCCTCTAAAACCTAAGTATCTATCCTAAGTGGACCCTGATCTCACCCTCTTCTGAGCTCTTAACATCACCTCTTACACAGTCTCCTGCTGTGGGATGTTCTGTATGGCAAATGTGTTGCTCTGATTGGTTGGTAAATAAAACACTGATTGGCCAGTAGTCAGGCAGGAGGAAGTATAGGCGGGACAAGGAGGAGAATAAAGAAAGAACAGGAAGGCAGAAGGAGTCACTGCCAGCCGCCATCAGGACAAGCAGCATATGAAGATGCTGGTAAGCCACGAGCCACGTGGCAAGGTATAGATTAATGGAAATGGATTAATTTAAGCTATAGAGGAACAGTTGGCAAGAAGCCTGCCATGGCCATACAGTTTGTAAGCAATATAAGTCTCTGTGTTTACTTGGTCGGGTCTGAGCGGCTGTGGGACTGGCAGGTGAGAGAGATTTATCCTGACTGTGTGCCAAGCAGGAAAACTCTAGCTACAGTCTCCTTTTACATTTAATGTGCGATACACTGGTCAAGATGTTTCTGTGACTTACAGTAGGGTTTATGTGTTTAATAATCCTCACCCTCTTCTTCCCCACCTCTTACATCCTCAGATGAGGGACAGTGGTGAGTGCTGTTCAAAAGCTTGACACAATGTAAAAATAAGCACATATAACAACAACAACAACAACAAAAACAAAACAAAATCTGCAGTGAATCCTGTTGAAAAATATTAAAAAAAAATAAATTAAATCTTCATTATTTTAGCTCAAAACCCATAAAATCAAAGCTATCCCAATTCTACAAAGAAGGGAGAGCATCTCCAACTTTGTGGCACCATTATGGAACCTCATCTGGATACTGCTGACAACCTGACCTCCTGTCCAGGACACAGTCTGCCCTGCAGCATGCATGCACACTGACCTCCTGCCCAGACCACACTGCCTGCCCTGCAGCATGCATGCACACTGACCTCCAGTCCAGGCCACACTGCCTGCCTTGCAGCATGCATGCACACTGACCTCCTGCCCAGACCACACTGCCTGCCCTGCAGCATGCATGCACACTGACCTCCTACCCAGGTCACACTGCCTGCCCTGCAGCATGCATGCACACTGACCTCCAGTCCAGACCACACTGCCTGCCTTGCAGCATGCATGCACACTGACCTCCTACCCAGGTCACACTGCCATGCACACTGACCTCCAGTCCAGGCCACACTGCCTGCCCTGCAGCACGCATGCACACTGACCTCCAGTCCAGACCACACTGCCTGCCTTGCAGCATGCATGCACACTGACCTCCTGCCCAGACCACACTGCCTACCCTGTAGCACGCATGCACACTGACCTCCAGTCCAGGCCACACAGCCTGCCCTGCAGCATGCATGCACACTGACCTCCTGCCCAGACCACACTGCCAGCCCTGCAGCACGCATGCACACTGACCTCCAGTCCAGACCACACTGCCTCCCTGCAGCATGCATGTACACTGACCTCCAGTCCAGACCACACTGCCTGCCCTGCAGCATGCATGCACACTGACCTCCTGCCCAGACCACACTGCCTGCCCTGCAGCATGCATGCACACTGACCTCCAGTCCAGGCCACACTGCCTGCCCTGCAGCATGCATGCACACTGACCTCCTGCCCAGACCACACTGCCTGCCCTGCAGCATGCATGCACACTGACCTCCAGTCCAGGCCACACTGCCTGCTTTGCAGCATGCATGCACATTGACCTCCAGTCCAGGCCACACTGCCTGCCTAGGAGCACGCATGCACACTGACCTCCATTCCAGGCCACACAGCCTGCCCTGCAGCATGCATGCACACTGACCTCCTGCCCAGGCCACACAGCCTGCCCTGCAGCATGCATGCACACTGACCTCCAGTCCAGACCACACTGCCTGCCTTGCAGCACGCATGCACACTGACCTCCTGCCCAGACCACACTGCCTGCCTTGCAGCATGCATGCACACTGACCTCCTGCCCAGACCACACTGCCTGCCCTGCAGCATGCATGCACACTGACCTCCAGTCCAGGCCACACTGCCTGCCCTGCAGCATGCATGCACACTGACCTCCAGTCCAGGCCACACTGCCTGCCTTGCAGCATGCATGCACACTGACCTCCAGTCCAGGCCACACTGCCTGCCCTGCAGCATGCATGCACACTGACCTCCTGCCCAGACCACACTGCCTGCCCTGCAGCACGCATGCACACTGACCTCCAGTCCAGGCCACACTGCCTGCCCCACAGCATGCATGCACACTGACCTCCAGTCCAGACCACACTGCCTTCCCTGCAGCATGCATGCACACTGACCTCCAGTCCAGGCCACACTGCCTGCCCTGCAGCATGCATGCACACTGAATAGAACCAATTAGACACTGGGGAAGAAGAGAAAGGCAAGAACAGAGAAGCTACCAGGACAAATCTAGCCCCACAGGCTCCATGTTTCCACACACATCCAGCATTTCTGCATTTCCCTTCAATGCCCTCTTCCGCAGAAGCCATTAGCAAAGTATGAATGATTTTTTAATAAAGCTAATGTACCTTAAGGTAATCTCCTCTCCATAATTTAGGCTGGAAATGAAACTTCAGTGAACACACATTAAAGATCACACAATAGCAAATAACTGAACCCTTCCAAAGGATGTTAGATCAGCAACATATAGTTTTGTTTTCCAATTTAAACAAATGTGCTTTTAGGCCAGACACATAACACATTATTCTCTCCATCCAAAATCTCTGCTACTCCCCACAGTCCTCCCTACTTGAGAGGTGGGAAGGAAGTGGGTAAGAGTCAGATATACAAGTCCTGTGTTATTTAAACCTACAATGTTCCCAATAGACTTATGTTTCAAGCACTTTTGCTTCCCAGGTTTGGGCACTACTTCAGAACCTTCAGGAAGTAGACCTGGCTGGAGAAAGGAGGTCATCTGGTAGACTTCTGACCATTGTACTTCCCCGTCTTTGCCTACCCTCTGCTCCCTGGTCTGAGCTCTTGTTCCCTGCCATCATATGCAGTGTCTCTGCCCTGATGGACCGACAGTCCTTGATAACTGACCCCAAAGTAAACCAGTCTCCTCATCAGTTGTTTCTGCCAAGTGTTTTGGTCACAGTGAGACAAAGAGCAGCAAATGTCTATCAAGGAGACAAGTGTTATACCCAGGCATTGTGGTATACACTTGCTATTCCAGCACTTGGGGGCAAGAAGACTAGCCACATCCCCTGGTGGAGCATTCAAGCCACAAGATCCTCCCATAGCTTAGATTAGAGCGCTCTGCTCTTCTCCCTGTGAATAGGCTGTGGGAATGTTGATATTGTACATGCATTGCACTGCTTACGCCTGCTCGCTCAGCTCACCTGCAGACCAGTCCTGCAGAGAACAGCTAGCCACATTCCATGCACTGTACAAACTCTTATCTATTCTTCCACAATTCTACTCCTTCACGGCCTTCCTGGGATCTAGTTACAGCACTGAGAAAACTACAGTCCTGAAATAGTACGGTGAGCTCACAGTCATATTTCTTACGAAAGCCCTAGGTAATAAAATATTTGATTATGGGATGCCATTTCAAAAACTAATGGTTATTTTTATAACTCAACAGGTACACACCTCTGGAAAAACTTTGCAAGACTTCACCAACCCCAAATTCCACATTCAATAAAGTCCAGAATGACAAGGGCAATCACAAAACTTCAAAGCCTGCATGGTCCAGAAAGGAAAGATTGGCAGTAACTGAAAAGATCCATGCCCTGAACCGCATGTTTTTGATGAAGAAATTCTTTGTTCAGCCATATACAAAGAAATAGCCTCCACTCTGGTCAAGAAGTATGCTTTCCTCACTTTCCTAGGTAAGATAATGCCAGGCTCTCTGCAGCCAGCCTTCACGGCTCCACGTTTACATAACTGTCCACAGGCAGCAGTTTCCCTTAACCCTGTTTCTATAGGAAGAGCAGCAGCAAACAGTAGCACAGGTCGGACACTAGAAATCTACTCAACAAGTCAGACACACAGCTCTGCAAGCTCAGAAAGGAACTGCTGCTGCACAATCCAAGTCATGAGCAGGGACCTGCTGAGACCATCCCACACACATGTTTTTGTTTAAAGAGCAAACAGAAACTTGGATTACTGGACTCTCACATCATCTGACAAGCTCAGAGTTCTCTTCATATTTATCTTCTTACCAGCAACACGTCCAAATGAGGAACTGTTCTGCTGTTGGGCCCACACCTACATACCATGTTTAGTACTCGTTAAACCCTTGCTATTGTAATTAACTTAGTAACAAAATTTTAGTTAACCCATTCTTACCATAATTATGCAGCACTGAACATGCTATCGCATGATGCTAGAGTGCCACTATCTAGCTTGTTCAAGTTATGAGAATGCGTCAATTCTGCCCAGGCAACCGCAAACTCTGCCTCCCGCAGATTGCTCAAACCCATCTAGAGTTTCCCCCTGCTAGCACCCGAGTCTAAGTTGCCATCATCTCCTGCCTCTGCTCTCGGTTCTTTCTAATACCTCTCTACAGCAGTGAACGTCATCTCCAAAACCGGCCATGTTAATAGGACAAAAGCAGTTCTCATCACGTATAGGAAAACTGAAGTACCACTGTATCCTACCTGCCCACAATCAAATAAAACTACCTATCGACAGCAATAGACACTACAAACTCCTGAAGACTAAACAACACACTACTGAATAACTCAACCACTGAAGAAATCAAGAAGGCAATAAAAACAAATCCTAGCACTGAATGAAGATGAAAATACAACAGATCAAAATCTTCCATGTCTGGATCAAAAGTCTCTGATTAAAGAGATCATGGGCCCTAGAGAGGAACCTACTGTTAAACGGCCATGACGTCAAACTACCTTCTAACTCTATATATGTAAACTCATGCGCTGCTCCCAACTTTGGTCCGAGAAGCTTCTTTTTGCAGAGGGAGTGGTTAACGCAGAGACTCAGATGGGTCAAAGTGCCAAGCTAATCAACTGTGACTGCTCAGCTGTGGTCAATCAATTGTATTCCAGGCTCAGAGACCATCGCAGAAAAGTGGGCAGAGAGCTGGGTAAAAGCCAGGAGATGAGGAGAACTGGAAAATGCTGACTTCTGAACATGCCATGGCTGCTGCACACATCATCTCACAGCAGCTGTGGTGACCTGTACAAAATCAAGCCAGCCAACATTCCAGCATGAAGTGGGGTATGGCCCCAACCTTGGAGGAGCTACGGAGGTGGGTGGTGGTAAGGGAGAGGCAGTCACTCCCCTGTGAGGACGTCACTGGTAGGTCGTCTACATGCCAATGGACGCTCCTACACTCGTGTTCAGGTGTGAAGGACAAGTGTAGCTCAGAGGGTCACTAATAACAACAAAAGAGGCCATGAAACTGGGAGGGAGATGGAGGAGGGGCACTAGAGGGAGCTGAAGGAAGACAATGATGGGCGAATATGATCAAAATAAATTGTATAAATATAGGAAATTATCAACACATAAAATATTTTAGAACATTATAATTACACAGAAAAACATAAGACAGAACATTAAAAGTCTCACATAGAGCTAAGGGGTGAGCCATTTATCACCTTCTCAGATATTTTCTTCTACACACATAAGCAGATGACTCATTACCAATGAGGTGCTATTATAAATGGTCACTACAAATCACCTTTGGATTGTTTTGAGTTTGGTTTGGGGGTGGTATTTGGTTTGGTTTGGTTTTACCTTTTTGAGACAAGGTCTCAATATAGAGCCCAGGCTGGCCACAAACTCACAATGCTTTGGCCTCATCCTCCTGAGTGCTAACAAACTGTCTTTTTAACCTTCTGTTTCTATCTCAACTTTAGCTCCATCTCAATGTTTTCAAAATAGCTACACAGAATGCTATTGTGAGGGTTCAGCATAACTGCTTATGCAACTTATCTACTAACACAGACCCCTATTTGACTGGATGGCTGCCTTCGTAGCATTATTTGAAGATTCAGCAAGCTGTTCCTTAGTGGAACTGGTTTTAAGCAAACTGGCTTCCATCGAACTGACATAAGAATGATGTTGAGGAGAGTGCTAATTCCTAAAGAACATCTGATCTAACTTTTTAGTAGATTTCCCAGCAAGCTCTCCCAAGGGGGCTAGTGATCAGCATATACAAAATCCACAACAGCAGCAATGTGAGTCTCTTTATATCTTTGCATTGGCTTTCTCAACCAAATGGTAGCTATAAAATCTGCTGTAGCAATCAAATAGGCTGTTGTGAGGCTCCAAGACATAAAGCAAAATTTAAACTAAAAGTCTTTAAAAACCTATATAAACATAGCTAGTATCTTCAAAGCTTCTATTAACAGATGAAAAGTTTAATTTTAAAAATTAACTTTTTTAACACATCTGGTAAGTTTAATCATTATTTCAATAGCCTTACTGTGCAAAGTATTTTAGATAAATATAGATATTTTAGATAAATTTGTTCAATTATACTGTAATATGATATAAATGACATTAGTGTTTCAATTTTTAGGAGATAAAACACATCAGACATGAATGTACAGGTGACATTTTTGTTAATTTGTTTTTTCACAAGGAAAAACATGCTCTATGAAATATTCAAATGGCATAACAAGATACTTTATATATCACTTAATAATAAAGATGGGTTCTGAAGAATATATTAAGTGATGCTGTCACTGTGCAAACCTCACAGAGTACACCTAAAAGAACCTATATGGATAGGTGATTGCTGGCATACTGTGAATCTGTACAGCTTGTCACTACATTATATACTGTATCAAGTATAACAAAATGGGATTTATAGCCCTAAACACACTTACACACAGAACAGGCCCAGTAGTAGTATGGTATAGAGCTATACCATACAGTGTGCTTGTGCAAGGCACTCACTCATATGGAGCTGGCAGGTCTCTACACTTCTATGGTGAGTCAGTGAGAACGAGTGATGGTATCGGTTAAGGACATGACTCAAGACTTTGAATACTGTGCACGTAGGCTGCACCAAAGTTATTAAATTTTTTTCTTTCTTCAATAAAAGAGTTTGAAATACATCAAAGCCACATGAAAATATTCTCTTTATATTCTCACTCTACAAGTTTTTCTACTTCATAGGTTTCATTTTTAGGGTGTGTTTTTTGTTGTTGTTGTTGTTGTTAAAAACTCACATATTAGCTCAGGGCTACACTGTGTGAGAACCATTGGTATTGCTGCTTCTACCTCGGCATCTTGTCAGTGGAGGGTCTTCAGTGGCTGTAAGATGTGGAGAGCTGTCACCTGGTATCCCATGATAACAAGGTCTCCCTAAGTGCCTTCCCAAGAGTCTCCCGGGAGCTCTCTCTAAGGGAGCACTACTGTTGGTGCCGGGATTCACGCTTTCAGGCTTTCTGAGAAGCCCATTAGGGTCTACCAAGGCCTCTACAGCACTAGTCACTGGGAGTTTTCTGAGAAGCCTAGTAAAGCCGACCCAGGCCTCTACAGCACTAGTCACTGGGAGTTTTCTGAGAAGC